TGGTTTAAGCCCATCCGGTAACCAAAACCCATTCAGCCTCTTGCTCACTCCCTCCCTTCTTCCTCCCCCAACTCCAGGAGGGATGGGGAGGACAATCGAAATAATGTTACTCTCACAGGCTGAGGTAAGAACAGCCCAGTAACTAAGACACAAGGCAGAACTACTACTGTTACCACCAACAACAAGGAAAGAGAATACAAGCTCTCACCACCCTCCGACAAATACCCAGCCCCACCAGAGCAGCAATCTGGGCCTTCCAGGTCCCTTCAATTTATATACTGAACATGACATGGTTTGGTATGGAATACCTCTTTGGCTAGTTGGATTCAGGTGTTCTGTCTCTGCTTCCTCCCACCTTCCCCTCCTCCCTGGCATAGTATGATACTCAGGAAGTTCTTGGTCAGAGAAAACATTACTTAGCAACAACTAAAAACATCTGTGTTACCAGCATTGTTCCCAGGCACAGCACTGCACCAGCTACTAAGGAGAAAAGTGACTGCTATAGCTGAATCCAGGACACAGAAATGTTAACTTGTCAGAGTATGAAAACACAAAGTATTGGAGCAGCAGCAGTCTTGGAGCTTTAACCAGCTCTGTCTCTTGGGATACTTCCTCAGACTACATCCTTCTTCCAGAATAAGGTACACTGGTTCATATATAGTAAAACAGTGAAGAGTGACAGGAAATTAAAATAAGCATGTGAAAGATGTAGTCTTTTAACACTTACTAGAATGATGATAAACACATTTAACCTTACCTTGTCAATTTAAGTGTGGTGGGTTTTTCTGTTGGTTTATTGGTTTTTTGATGTTTTTTTTTTCCTGTGTGTGCATTTTCTTTGTATGTTTTGAGGGTGGGGTTTGTTTGTTTGGGGGATTGGTTGGTTGGTTTTAAATGAGCTAAACTGGCTTAGGGGCTTACAAACAAAACACATGCTAAAAGCCAACTCATTAACTTATTTTTTTGTCAGTTTAGATACACACAATTAAGTAGCTACCTAGACAGAAACTAACACCTATGAGCCTAACAGGATTCATGTATATGACATTATGCCCAAGTAGAATCATAGAATCAGCTAGGTTGGAAAAGACCTTTAAGATCATTAAGTCCAGCTCCAGAACAGCCAAGACCACCACTAAACCATATTATCTAGGGCCTCATCTACACAGCTTGTGAACACTTCCAGTTACAGTGACACCACCACTGCCCTGGGCAGCCTGTTCCAATACCTGATCACCCTTTCTGTGAAGAAATTTTTCCTAGTATCCAATCTCAACCTGTTAACTGTCCCTTCTTCCTGAGGTGATAAATTTAACCCTTCCCCTTCCTGCTCCCACCCCTGAACAATAAGAAACACTCTAGTCTCCACAAGAATTTAGCATTCTCTGCCTACATTTCCAAGCCTTTTACCCAATTAATTTTGCATGAAACTCTAAAAGAACAGGAAGTTTCCTTTCATGTGTCATTTAAGCCATGGAAAACACTATCACAAATGGTTAATGCCAGAAAATTAACTACTAAAATTACTGAAAGCGATTTCATTAATATCTATTATTAATGACAATGGTTCCAAGTGCAAGTCTCAATGGTGATAAGTGAAAACTGATGCATTATACCAAAGAGACAGGAACTAATTTTGTTTCTTATACCCACATGGCTACAGATTCACTGCTGCTGTCAGAGAACAAAGCCTTTTCTGACACAATACACCAATAATATATAAAAACCTCAAATATTTGTGTAACTTGCTTAACATCTGTAATCTGATAGAGATAGCTCTCCCTGTTATTTAAGTAACACACTTTAACACTTTGTGAAAGACTGTGCTGCTTTCCCTTATCAGACTCCAGCTTAAGACAAAAATGCTGTTATTTAAACAGTTGCTGTCTTCCTCTAATTTGCAAGAGAGGCCATAACTTCTGCTAGTAAAAGGATCACAGCTTTGTGAATAAAATGCTAATTAGAGAATTATAGGAGACTGTCCCTCAGTAGGCAAAGACAACAATCAGTACCCTGTTAGCAACCAAAAAAATATTATTTTTGTCTAAAACCCCAGAAGACTTAAGCAATTCCATATGTACAAATTTGAGATTAAACTCAGACTTCAGTTTAGCCCACACAAGTCCTACTGTTAGGCAAATCTGTAGTTATTCAACAACAGATGCTACCTCTACTTTTGAGCTTCATGTCACAAAACTTAAGTTAAGAAATAAATAATGATAAAACACCCTGTGCTCAAGCCAGCTACCTAGCAGAGCAACTGAAAAAGCTGAGTCATCTTTTGGGGCTTTTCTTGTCTCTTTCTGGCAGACAGTTTGACATTTGCAGTAAAAATCCATGGTAAACAGTTCTGGTATAACTTCTGGACTCACCACAGGAAGAGATAACTATTATCCAATCAGTATATTCACAGCTACAGACAGTTCAAAAAGGAAGATCTGCCTCTTTTTACATAAGGACCTGACCGTAATGAACCACACTTGCCATCTTACATATAAGCTATCATACTACATTCATGTGATCTAAACCTCCCTTTATTCAGAACCTTCAATACTCTAGTGTTGAGCATTTTGTTCGTGAGCACAGTGAACTGTTTTACAGTCTGATCTGGTTCTTATCAGCTTCCAGATTAATCTCAATATTTTTGGTTCCTGGTGGCCTAGAAATACTGGTACATTCTCTTCTGGATCATGGCACTATATTACAAAACACATTCTTCAGCTAACTCAGCCAAGTTTTATTAAAGCAGATTTAATGATTAAGACATTTCTGATGAGAGCTATAGGAAGAGAGATGATCAGATTTGGAACTGCAGTTTGATCTATCTTACATATGTACACTTCAGTAGATATGCCATAATATGACTTAACCACTCTTGAGAAGTCATGCAAAATTGGCTTGGTCAGCAGTAAACCTGTCCAATTTAAGGCAAGGCTATCACAAGTTCCTTGAGGATGAGAGTCTTCTAAGTGCTTTTGTAAAAACCTTCACAATCACAGCATTCAACTGGAATTTCTAACAGTGCTGTTTTTTTTCTCATATAAATACTAGCTGTGGTTTTTAAACAGATAATACCAACAAGATAATTTAACCAAAAGGCAATTTTAGAAATAAAATATACATCATGAGAGCTAAATGTCCCATAAATTAAGTACGCAAGCCTGGGACCAAACCAACTGTAAGTTGTTTCAGAGCATTTTGAACGTAAGAACTTACAGAACAAAGTAACTGATTTCTTAAATAATACTTGTCAGTGAGGAGAAGGGGAAAAAGAAGGCCTTACAGTGTGACAAGGCACACAAACAAGAATCGCCACAAAGGCCAAAGCGAGATAAAAGCTAACAAACTGCCTCACAGTATCAACTCCACAGCCCAACTATTATAAACACCTATTATGTAAAATACAAGATTATCATTATGGTGAACTGCTAAACTTATCATACTAAACAGGAACTGAGGTTCAGAATACTCTCAGTCTCAAATATTTGGTACACACAATGAGCAATTTTCCCCTTTTCCTAATGGCTAGATAAACTCTCTGCTTACATATATGCATTTAGATTACTTAGGGAGACTTTACAGAGTCAAGTGTAAAATAAAATACCATTGAGTTTTGCAAAATCTATTATTAAAGTTATTAAAAGTTCTGACTTAATTTTTTACCTCAATATTACACAACCACTGCCATGGCTAATACACTTGCATTCAGTTGCTAAGTAATGTTTACTCCGATCAAGGACTTTCTCAGTTTCATGCTCTGCCAGGGAGAAAGGGAAGCTGAGAGGAAGCAGAGACAGGACACCTGACCCAAACTAGCCAAAGGGATATTCCATACCACAACACGTCATGCCCAGTACATAAGCTAGGAGGCGCCACCCAGAAGGCCCAGATCACTGCTCAGGTAGGGCTGAATATCAGCTGGCAGGTGGTGAGCAATTTTACTGGGCATCACTTGTGTTTGTTTCTTCTCCTTTTCCCCTTTTACTTTTCTATTCTCTCCCCTTGTTGTTTCCCTTATTATCATTACTGGTGGTAGTAGCAATACTTTTGTATTATGCCTTAGTTACTGAGCTGTTCTTATCTCAACCTGTGGGAGTTAGATTCTTTCTCCTCCCAATCCCTCCAGGAGTATAGGGAGGAAGAATGGGGGGGAGTGAGCAAGCAGCTGCGTGGTTCCGAGTTACCGGTTGGGCTTAAACCACAGCGCTTACACACACATATTCTCTGGACAATACATTCTCATGCCAGCATCTGTACTCAACTTCAATTTATACAATGCCATAGAGCTACCTCCGAAATTAAGAGCTCACAATCAGCCTTCTCTGTTGATAGCCTAGCACTTACAGGATTCCCTTTAAACCCCAGTTATCTCCTAGCCCAGGATGCATGAGTGCAGTCGTATGCTACCCCGTACCCTGCAGGTCTAAAACTCTTACGATACAAACGACTATTTCCAGCTTCCCCCTCCTACTCCCGTTTACACACTAACTGAACCACTTCCACCGCGAAGGGCATCATTCTTACTCTACTCAAAGATCCTATGAGCAGCCCCTAACTAGGTAATGCTCTTGGCTCCCTTTCGCGACTGTACCACGGCGGCCACTCTGAGCCTTTTACACCACACACACACCACCCTGGAAACCAGGGAACCAGCCCGCGCCGCAGAAGCAAGGGCCTCCGCAGCGCTGTCTCGCCACCGCTCCCAACCCCTCACTCCCACCTCTGCCGGGAAGCGTGGCGGGTAGCCCTAGCCCCACCACAGACATTCCTTCGGGGAAGATGGCAAGAAGACACGCCTCCGGCCGAAAGTACATGAGCTCTTACCAAAGCTCTGCCAAGACTCTCGCAAGTACTAATAGGCTCCCGCAGCCGACAGCCCCCCCCCCCCATCGGCACAATACCACAGACTACCGCAACTTTAAGTTCTTGCTCGATCCCCGACAGGCCCCTAGCGGTCCCACTTCCCTCCCCTAAACATTGCTAGGCCGCCAAATCCTTACCCTTAGCCAACGCCACAGTGGAGTTTTCAGTGTCGATAGTGTATAAGATTCCTTCGTAGCGGATCTCAGCCTTAGAAATAAGACTTATTTTGCTCCCGATGTAGGGCGCTCCCCCGCTCATCGTACTGACTTCCCAGTTCGGAACAAGACTTCTTCCTTTTGAAGCCCAGCACAAACAGCTAAGCAAGCCCGCCGCAGAATCGTAGTAGACGTTCTACGCCTCCCGCTTTGAATCCAGCCTTCCTTCCGCCGAACTCCCAGCGACGGCTTTCCCTGCGCAGGCTCCTTTAACATACCTCGCAATGAAAATACCCTAAAACTCGCAACATGGCAACCACTCTCGTCTTTTCTCAAAGCCACCCCCTCCACTCCAACCGTGAAATGGATGCCGGGAGCGGAAATGATCTCGCGAGAGCGGCCAGCCAGGGTGGGGCTACGCTACGCTACGCCACGGCACTGAGGGTAGGGGGTGATCATTTCGGCTTCACAGTCGTGAGTATCTGGCGTGTTTCCTTTCTGTGTTTAGGGTATGGTTTTCATGGTGATTGGGTTTAGCTGTGCTTCATCGTGTTTTATATACCTGGTTGGTGAGTGGTGTGATGGACTAGGTTTGTGTGCGGCCTGGGACTCTTTTTTCCCCGGGCTCGTGTGCCAGGAGTTCGCAGCTTGGGAATCTCACTCTGGTTCATGATCTGTGAGCATATGTGGATGTGGAAGTAGGTTGGGAGACTTGGGGTTTTCGTTTGTTTTGCCCCCCCTTTTTTTTTTCCACAGAGGCCTAAACTATGTATCATTGAATGCTGTATTCTTGTGATCATTGATAAGCAATTTAGAATCCAGTTATGTGGAGAGATGTGAAAGTTTTCATATCGATAACTATTTAGCTTGTATTTCAGTATTTTACTTGGCTGGCAGTTTTTAGATAGCGGGATCTTGCCAAGCAGCACTAAGCAATGCAACTGTTTATGGTATCTTGACTAAAGTATGGAATTAATCCTGAAAAAAATATTCTTTTAGTACAAGTAAACACACAGAAAATTATGATTTTGAGTTTATTTTTAGGTCGTGCACCTTAAATAAAAATCATAAATGAGGCCTCCTGTTGGAGGCTTTGCCTGTTAAAACATACTGCCTTGGGTGCCCTTTGTATATTTACAGCCTAGAAAATTGCATGCAACAAACTTAACTTCTGGAAAAGGGCACTTAATTGTCGACGCGGGAGTCACAAACAACACAGGAACGATCAGTGTGATCAGCGAATGCCAATTTATTACAAAGCTTTAACTCCTTACATACCATTTCTTACAGGCATTTACAGTGATTTGGCATATTATGATTGGATACATGTCTTGAAGACCCTTAGCGACTAACACATAATTGGTTAAGCACTGGTGTGAGAACTTGACCTTGAAAGCTTGTCAACAGCCCACAGTTCTCATTAACTCAGTGAATTACAGCTTCTTCTTATCTTGCTTGTTTATGCTTTCTCAGGCCTCTCATGGCCTTTCAGGATTATTCAGAGTTTATGTATCAATTATCCATTCTCCCATGAGAACACTGTCTCCACACTTAATAGCTTTTGTTACAGCAACTGGGCACTCATGTTGCAAAGATTCAGCAAGTATTTTTCTCAGAATAGGGCTTTGAAGCACAATAACAAGCCAGATTTTTTTTGGAAGAGTCTGCAGGTTTCAAAATAGGAGCCATATTAGATTTACAGAGACTTTATGCCCAAGTTCAACTGACTGTAAAGTCATGGAGAAATTGAGTACTCAGGGAGCTTTGCTGTGATGTGATTCTAGCATGTCCTGGACTAACTGAAAGATTTTTTGAACAAAGTTGTGCAGTTAATTACTGGATATATATGACCATGTCAAGTCTGGGAGTCCACTGTTGAAAAATCAATACTTGTAACTCAGCAGAAAATAAAGTTTTACATCAAGTCCTGTCTAGATGAGTGCAGTCAAATATTTGCAATGATGATTAACTTTAAAACAAAAGCTCCTAAATTTCCATAATATATGTATATATAAAAGTTACTTGCAACTGAAGTACATGAAACTAAATTTAGACACGTTTCTAGAATACCCTTTGGATGCTCTAGCCATCTTGGTGCTCTCCAGTTTGTGGAACTTAAAGTTTTTAATTCATGCTTAAAATCAGCAGTTGAAAGAATATTTTTATAGCATAAAGTGAATTTCAATTCTGTATGTAAAGACTTCTTTGAATTCATTTTAAGAAGTTACCTCAAAGCCTTATCTAAATCTGGTAGGTACCATTTTAATATTAAATGTAAACTTAAGTGTCCTGGGTTCAGCAGTTGCAGTCATTTTTCTCCTTCTTAGTAGCTGGTGCAGTGCTGTGCTTTTGACTTTCAGCCTGGGAACAGTGCTGATAACACCCATGTTTTTAGTTGCTGCTTAGTAATGTTTACTCTGACCAAGGACTTTCTGAGTCTCATGCTCTGCCAGGGAGGAGGGGAAGCCAGGAGGAAGCAGAGACAAGACACCTGACCAAAACTAGCCAAAGAGGTGTTCCATACCGCAGCACATCATGTCTGGTATATGAACCAGAAGGGTGAGATCACTGCTCGGGTCGGGCTGGGTATCTGTTGGCAGGTAGCAAGCATTTGTATTCTCTTCCCTTGTTATTTCCCTTATCATCATTGTTATTATTGGTGGTAGCAGTAGTGGTTTGTGTTATACCTTAGTTACTGGACTGTTCTTATCTCAACCCATGGGAGTTACATTATTTTGATTCTCCTCCCCATCCCTCTGGGGAGGAAGAGTGAGCGAGCGAGCAGCTGCGTGGTTCTGGGTTGCTGGCTGGACTTAAATCACCCCATTAAGATACTTAAATTGTATATTTGAAGGCACTGAAAGTGTGTATTTGAAAGAAACCCATGTCATTTAACTAGGCAAATAATGCTCCTTCTTAAGTGCTTTCACTCCTTTAGAGGTGTCCTGTTTTTTCTGTGATAGAGTTAACGTTTTTCACAGTAGCTGGTATGGGGCTGTGTTTTGGATTTGGTGAAATGGTATTGGTAATACAGAGATGTTTTAGTTACTGCTGAGCAACTTACACACAGTCAAGAACTTTTCTGCTCCCCACCCCACCAGTGAGCAGGCTGAGGGTGAATAAGGAGTTGGGAGGGGATGCAGCTGAGACAGTTGACTGCAACTGACCCAAGGGATATTCTATGTCATGTGATGTCATGCTCAGTATATAAAGCTGGGGGAAAAAGAAGAAAGGGGGGGGTGTGTGTCAGTGTCAGTCAGTCATTTGGAGTGATGGCATTTTGTTTTCCTCAGTAACCCTTAACATGTGATGGAGCCCTGCTTTCCTAGAGATGGATGAACACCTGCCTGTGGATGGGAAATGCTGAATGAATTCCTTGCTTCACTTTGCTTACGTGTTCAGCTTTTGCTTTACCTGTTAAACTGTCTTTATCTCAACCCATCAGTTTTCTCACTTCTACCCTACCAGTCCTCTCCCCCATCCTACTGGGGGGTGGGAGGGTGAGTGAGTGGCTATGTGGTGCTTAGTTGCCAGCTGGGATTACACCATGACAGTCCTTTTTTGATGCCCAACATAAGACACGAAGGATTTGAGATAATGACAGATCTGATTGGGATGTGCTAGATGGAATTTATAGCTGTGTTTGCTGTTTAGCTATTAATTGACAGAGTGCTATGTTTGCCATGGGGCTTGCTTGCCTTACTGTATATTAGTGTCATGCTCATTAGTGACTGGTTTTTGCTTTCACTGCTTGCTGTCCTGCTTATCATCTGACTGCTGTGCCTGGGAGCATTTTGATAACAGCAGTGGCAATACCCTGGGCTGGCGGATGGCCAGGGCATTGCTGCTGTTTCTGTGCTGCTGTACTACTGGACAGGCTGGAACTCCAGCGTGAACTCTAGTCAAAGGAACTGCGTGACCTATAGATGAGTCCACATGGGAGCAGGACACCCTGAAACACCTGTGGCTGTAGATGAGTCCATGCCAGAGCATCTATGGCCATTGTTATGTCTGAGCCACAGCAGGTATACCTCTGAAGGGATACGGCTCAAGGATGAGTCCACGCTGGAGAAAGTACACCTTGAAGCATCAGTAGCTGTGCATGAGGTCATGCTGCAGCACCACTTGGAGCAGGTGCACCCCTAGGGACAAGGGGAGGAATTCATTGCAGTGTTAAACTATATGGAGACCAGGTGTGGAGATTGTAATGGACCTGCCTTTAAACTGTTGTAAGCCATGATTTGAGTTCCATGTTATAGGAATTACTATAAGCATGTAAATATTTGAAAAATATTTTTATAATAAAGGAATGAATACAAAAGGTCATTGAGATTCTATACTAAAAGTCTCATTCCCTACATAGAAGCACAAGACCAAAGCCAGCTTCAGCAACAAGTTTACATACATTATGTATGTCATAATTTTTTTACTTAGAGTCCAATGTGAATCAGTATACATGTTTTATTAAATTATTCTATTATACTTCCTTATTCTGTGTGTTTATATACATAAAATGGCTCAATTAAGAGGAGGTGAGTGGGAAGAAATATGAAATCATATTTTAGAGATGACCCACCCACAAGTGTAATTTAAAACTAATTAAAGTAAGTAATTTTTTAGGTTTTGCAATATGTTGTATAAATCATGACTTCCCATTTTCTCCCTCTGGTGGGAAAATGACTTTTTATCCTTTAAAGTCACAAAGCAATAATATTTCCTTCTGTGTGTGTGTATTTTTGTTTGTTGTTTTTTTGTTGCTTTTTGTTTTTATTTTTTGTGGGGGTTTTTTTGTTTGTTTTGTTTTTTTAAATAGAGACACCCAGTTTAATGCCAGAATGTTAGAAAAATGTATATGAAAACTCTTCAGATACAGGACTAGTTGCAGAATCATGTCTAGCTTTTCATTATAAAAACTCTGGAGATGGTGGTATACAAATCAAGTCCAGGATCAGGGCAAGTAAGTGAAGGAAGCATGGAGCCTTCTCCAAAGATAATAAAACGTGGGACTCTTAAAATAATTGGACAGATTCTGAAATTTTTTCAACGCAAATATTCTGCAATAGCAAATTGAATTATAGTCTATTAATATATTTAAATTTCAAGGTAGAAACTGTGGAGACAGCGTTCTCACAGGAGAACGCCTAATTGGTACGTAAACTGAATAATCCTGAAAGATACAGCAAGGCCTTGAGAGGCCCAAGGAAGCTTAAG